TATATATATATATATATAAATATATATATATATATATATATATATATGTACGAATTCTTATCTGGATCACCTTGTTACATAATATATATATATATATATATGCGTAATTTATACTTAAATTTACATTTACATATATACATATATAAATACATAAATATATATATATATATTTATGTGTATTTATTTATATGTGTAGCTATGGGGTTGTGTGCGAGGCAGCAGCCAACGACAGCCTGCGGGGAGTTGCATAGCTTTTTGTATACAAAACACTGTCAGCAGCAGCAGCAGCAGCAGCAGATGCAGCAAGAGCAGCAACAGCAGATGTAGCAGCAGATGCAGCAGAAGATGCAGCAACACCGCAGCGGAAGCAGCAGCAGCAGCAGCAGCAGCAGCAGCAGCGGTAGCAGGAGCGATCGCCGGGTCTTTATTCATATTGTCTGAGGGCTGGCGTATTTTTCTGACTTGTACAAATAAAATTATTTAATAAAAAATAAATAATATATTTAACTTAAAAACAAATACTTACAAAGAGATCTCAGGGCACCTCTTATAAACTACAGCAGCTTCCTTCCTGCAGTAGCAGCAGCTGCTGCTCCTGCTGCTGCTCGTCGGCGCAGGTTCTGCTGCTGCTGCGAGCGGCCGCGCGGCTGCTGCTGCTGCTGCTGCTACTGCTGTTGGGGCCTTTAGTTATTTGAGCTTCTGGAGCCTTCAAGGGGTTTGTCTTGTATTTTGTTAAAGGGTAAAAAGAAAAAAACATGTTTTAAATAAGAAGAACTGCTGGTCTTGCTGCAGCCCCGTAGTCAGAGGCTGCAACTAGCCGCCTCGTTTGCTGCCGCAGGCGACAGCAGCATGCAGCGGGAGCAGCAGCAGCAGGAGCAGCAGCAGCAGCAGCCGCAGCAGCAGCAGCAGCAGCGGGGCCCCACATATGCGTGTTGTTGCTGCTAAACAGTTGCTGGCAAGAAGCAAGGGAGCAGCGTTCCATCCTCCGCCCCTCGAGCAGCAGCAGCAGCAGCAGCAGCAGCAGCAGCAGCAGAAGCAGGAGCAGCAGCAAACCACAACAACAGCTGAGCCTCCTTGCACTCTTCCTTCTGGCTGCATGCAGCAGCTCGTCTTGAAGCAAACTCGCAATGAAACGCATGACCTATGCAGAAGCTGCTGCTGGTGCTGCTGGTCTCCCCGGCGAAACCCAGGTGCAGCAGCAGCAGGAGCAGCAGCAGCAGCAGCAGGCCTTAACAGGCACAAGCCCTTTGATATGCAACTCTGCTTCCTTTCCAGAGGATGAAGACAGCAGCAAGGGAGGCGCAGAGACGCGCAGCAGTTCCCCGCCCTGCAGCAGCTCCCCCGCAGCTGCAGCAGCAGCAAGCGCAGCAGCAGCAGCAGCATCAAACGCAGCAGCAGCAGGGGGAGCTACACCTGACTCTGCCCGTTCAAGAGCAGCAAGATCCCCTGAGCAGGTGGGGGCTAACCCAGGGACAGTGAAGATGCTGAGGGAGCAGTATGAGCGCCAGTCTACTGAAGGCCTCTCTACTTTGCAGCGGCAGCGGATGAGCTCAACGGGCCCCTTCTCAGCAGCTTCTCGACCTTCTAGCACCCCACCAGCAGCAGCAGCAGCAGCAGCCCCATCATCTGCTGCTGCTGCAGCAGATGGGGGCAGCAGCGGCACTGAAGAGGGCAAACAGGGCGAGGCGCTGGTAGATCCTCAGTCTTGTGCAGCACTTATACAGCAGCTGCTGCAGGAGAAGGAGCAGCTGCAGCAGCAGGTTGATTCTCTGTGGAGTCAGAAGGAGGCTTTTCGTTGTGCTAACGAGCGGATGTCAATGGCTTTGCTGCAGCAGCGGCAACAGCAGCAGCAGCAGGCCGCTGAAATAGCTGCTGCAGCAGAAGCAGCAGGTGCTACACCAAGAAAGGGCCTCCTTAGGCGCAGCATAACTGTTATTCCTTCAGGCTGCCTCACTGCTAGGGGCCCTCTAGGGCCCCGATGGGATGCTGGCCTCGTAGGGCCCCCTTCGGGGGCCCCTGCTGAGGGGGCCCCTGCTGAGGGGGCCCCTGCTGAGGGGGCCCCTGTTGTGCCCCCCTTGGCAGTGAAGGAGCAGCACCGCCAGCTGAATCTGCAGCTTCCGCTTTCTGCAGCCGCCGACAAGCCCCAACCTCTGCTGCCCCAGCAGCAGCAGCAGCAGCAACAGCAGCAGCAGAGGCCTCGTTCAGCAGGGATACCAGGTATTACCCCCCTGAACTTAAAGGCATTGCAGCGGCCTCCAGGTGGAGTTTTTCGTGGCCTTCTTTCAACTTCAGGGCCCCTCTCAGCATCTGCATCTGCCGAGGGTACTGATGGGGGCCCCCCAATGGGGCCCCCCAATGGGGCCCCCCAAGCACCCCCTTTAGGGGCCCCTGCAGGGGCCCCTACAGAGGCTCCTACAGGGGCCCCTCTAGGGGCCCCTACAGGGGCCCCTAGGGGGCCCTCCCTGGGGCCCCCTGTGCCCTTGCTAGGGGCATTAAGGGGGGGAGGCTCGCAGACTTGCAGAGCGTCTTTGGCTTCTACAGCTCTGAAGACGCCGCGGAGGCGATTTGCTGATGGGGGTATTTCTTCTAGAGGTTGTGCAGGAGAGTGGCTGCGGAGGGGACAGCAGCAGCAGCAGCAGCAGCAGCAGGAGCAGCAGCTGGAGCTGCTGCAGCACAAGGCGGTTGAGGAGGCGTTGGTCGCGTCGCTACGCTCTATGAATATGCTAGGCAGCTTCAACTTAGGGCCCAGCAGCACAAGCAGAGCAGCAGCAGCAACAGCAAGAGGCAATGCAGCAGAGCCCCCCCCTTGGGAAGCAACACCCGAAGCAGCTCTTAATCGCTGCAGCAGCAGCCCCGAGAGGGGGTACTGGCACTCTACTTTTCTCTGCGTATTGAAGGTGGAGGGCACAGACTTCTTCCTTGACGTGCTGCAGCAGCAGCAGCAGCAGCAACAGCAGCAGCGCTCCTTCAACGCCGCCAACAGCTTCCTCAGCAGCATCGGAGCAGCAGCAGAAGCAACAGAAAATTTACCGCTGGAGGGCGCAAGGGTAATTGCTTCAAAAGAAACAGCAGGTGAGAGCCGCTGCAGCACCAGCTGCAGCACCAGCTGCTGCACCAGCTGCTGCAGCAACTGCAGCAGCTGCAGCAGCAGAACGATGTCACTGTGTTTCGTGCTGCTGCAGCACAGACTTTAGGGAGCCGCATTTTCTGTGTGCTGTTCAGCAGCAAATATGCTGATTGCTTCCAAATCTTGCAGCTGCTTCTGCTGCAGCAGCAGCAGCGTTTGGAGCAGCATTTGGTGCAGCAGCTGCTGCTGTGGTGCTGCTGTTTGTGTGTCTCCTTCAGGGGTATTTCAGGTGTGCGTGCGGCACCTGCTGAAAGAAGACAACTGGCTACGCTCTTTATGTGTCTCCTTATACTGGGGCCTAACTTCTGCTGTTAATCCTGGTGAGCTGCCCCCCGATCAAACGCTGCAGCGGGGCCTGAGCTTCTCAGAGACCTGCTGCGGGAGCTTGGGGCCCCAGAAGCAGCAGCAGCAGCAACAGCAGCAGCAGCAGCAGCAGCAGCAAGCAGAAGAAGAAGAAGAAGAGGAGACACTTACACCAGATGGTGAAGAAGGCGCAAACGCATGGAGTGGCTGGGACTCTGTAGCTTTCTTATACCTTCGCAGCATCGATGCTGGAGGCGAACCTGTTGCTGCTGCAGGGCAACCTGCTGCTGCTGCTGCTGCTGCTGCTGCTGCTCCGCAGCTGTACATCTCATCCCGAGTGCTCTCTGACGAAGATGCTGCCCTTAGTTTCTCTTCCAGCTTCAGCAGATCCGCTAGTACTGCAACAGCAACAACAGCAAGCAGCAGCAACAGCAGCAGCGGCAGCAGCAGCAGCAGCAGCAGGACAGCAGCAGACCTGCGTCGAGCTGAGCCTTATTCAGGAATGAATCAGCTGCTGCTGCAGAAGGGGCCTCAAAAGGAAAGTGTTTTTCTTGTGCGAGCTAAAGACAGAAATAAAGGGTTAATGCCTTTATTTCATAGAGCCACACAAAAGTATGTGCATGTACACCCCACAATGGGTCTTGTAGGCTTAGTGCCCCCGGTAATACAGCAAGAGCGCCAGCTTCGCATGCAGCAGAAGGCTCAGATGCAGCAAAAGTCGGGGGCTAGGAGACGTCTCAAAGCTAAGAAACACCAGGATACGCAGCAGCAGCAACAGCAGCAGCAACAGCAGCAGCAGCGGCAGAAGCAGAAGGATCGAGGCAGCAGCAACATCAGCAGCAGCTCGAGGCGCAGCAGCCCCCCTCCAGAGTTGGGGCCTGTACACTCCGAGATGTTCTTAAGGCCTTGCAGAGTAGAAATGATCCCCCTAGCTGATTTGCTGCTGCAGCAATCAGTGCAGCGGCTGCTGTCAACAGTACAAGAGGTGGCGCTGCAGACGCAGCGCCAGCAGCTGCTGGAGGAGACGGTAGGGGGCCCCTCCGTTAGGGGCCCGGGAGACAGAAACAGCAGCAGAAGAAGCAGCAGCAGCGAGGCGAGCAGCAGCAGGGAGTGCAGCAGCGCTTCAGATGATGGGGACGGCTTTGACGGTGTTGTGGCTTCGGAGGGAGGAGACGATCCCGATCCCAGCAGGTGTGGGGTCAGGCGCGGGCCGCTGGTGCCTCCTCTCGGTCTTGCAACCAGTGTTGCAGCAACTGAAAAAGCTGCAGCAGCAGAACCTCAAGCAGCAGCAGCAGAACCTCAAGCAGCAGCAGCAGCAGCAACTTATCAGCCACAATTTTTTTCCTTTCAGCTTAACGAAGACGAAGTAGTGACTGACGAGGAGAGCTAGCAAGCCTCCAGTGCAGCAAGGCTGCAGCATTTGCATTATATTATTTATTTGTCTTCTGTACAGACGCTTTTGTTTGTTTGTTGCTTGGCTCTATATGCATCTTCTTAGGCGGCCTGCAGGCTGCGCGGGGCCCTGACCCGCAAAGATAGCCTCTCCGAGACCAGCAGCAGCAGCAGCAGCAACAGCAGCAGCAGCAGCAGGTGCTGCTGCTGCTGCTGCTGCAGTGTCGCTTCCACCAGGCAGTGCTGGAGCTGCAACAAAGGCCTATTGCGTGGCTCTGGTGGTCTTAGCTGGAGAGACGGTGGAGGAGCGGCACATAGGGAGATATGTCTGCAGTTGTATTAACAAACAACAGCAGCAGCAAGAGTAAAAGAAGCTCGTGAGGCTGTCTCCTTGTTTTGCTTCTCAGGGTTATGTGAACGGCGCAATGGCATACCTTCTTTAGCCGCTTTTGCAGGGCAAGAAGGATCTAGGGTTTAGGGTTTAGGGTTTAGGGTTTAGGGTTTAGGGGTAGAGGTGCTTGACAGTCTTGTCTGGGGCTGACAATACACTCCACTTGGCGCCCCTGTTGCACTTGTCTTTAAATCAATATTCTCTCCTTAAACAGCTTGAGAGATGCATGCATGCATGGCTGCAGCAGCAGGACCTTCAGTGCATGCAAACTGCAGCAAGCGGGTGGCGTCTCCCTTTCGTCTACTGCTCGGTTGTTTGCTGCGTTTATTTACCTTTTGGCCGCATGGCGGCTGAACACTAGTGCAGCAGCAGTTAGGGAGGTTTCTGCTGCTGAGCTGCAGCATCAGCAGCAGCAGCAGCAGCTGTGAAGCGCTAAGCTTCACTCCTTTTGCTGCCTCTCAAGTAGCTCTTAGGCTCTTAAGGGAGACACTGCGGAGACAGAGTGTCTCCTGCCTCTGCGCCGCTGTAGCTGTAGCTGAGATAGACAGCATCAATGGGGCTGACTGACTGTCTAGTACCTCTTTAGGGGGCTCACAGTAAGTAGCTAGTAGCTAGCCAGGTAGCTACGCAGCTAGCTGCCGAGCGTACCACCCAAGTTGGCCCCTCGTCTAGCTAGCTACTTAGCTAGCTAAACGGGCTGGTGCATCGCTACCCTCCTGCTAAGCCAGTACCGGAGCAAGCAAGCTAGCTAGCAAGCTAGCTAGCTAGCTAGCTAGCTGGCTAGCTAATGGGGGGCGAGCTGGCTTGTTACAAGGCAAGAAGGGGGTTGGCGGCTGAGGCATTTGCTGCAGACAGGAGGAGACAAATGCAATTAATAAAAACAGCTAACGAGAAGCTCAATGCTAGGCACCCCCTGCAGTAGGCGGTGGCCTCCTACGCTTCCTTGCTATCAAATCGGGGGCTGCACTGTAGAGCTCGCCGATATGATAAGATGTGCATGCATCAGAGAGACAAAAAATCGACAGTTAATTAATTCAACGTCTCTAGCTGAGAAGGAGGGAAGAGGACTTGTAATTAAACCAGATATAAGGAGTATTGGGGTTGTGAGTTTTAAATGCAAAAGAAAAAAACAGCAAAAATAAGCAAAGAGAGACGAAGACGACACCCGACGGATCCGGCAATGAGAAAGAAGACGAGAATATCAAGCAGTGCATGCGCTGCTGTCTCTCTTTGCTTCTTATTGCCTTTTTGCAACGAAGACATTAAAACAACAAGTCAGGCCTCATACTCTGTCTCAGGAACTGAGGAAGCAAGACTACAAGACTATAATCAGAGTCGCGAGGGAGTATATGCCTCTAACAATGTGAATGAAGCACAGGGATGTGAGCAGAGAAGAAGATAGCATAAAGGATTAACAAGAGTGCATCAGAAAAGTGCAGCAACAAACGATGTTCAGCAGCCACTTTCAATTGTACCGACTTGCGCTTACTATTCGGAGTCTTTAAGAAGCGAGCAGCTAAAGAACTTCTTTATACGATGGGGGCTCCCCTTTGCTGTTATTTATCGGGTTAAGGCTCTAGCAAACGTCGCTAATTAGCACATAAGGTAGTTAATTAACAGTATCAATAATGCAATGTGCATAAAACGCCTTAGAGTATCACAATACACTTTTTTATTTGTTCTTTAAAGAGGAGAATAGCCACCGTGGAAATGAACAAAAAGATGAGACTGAGGTCCGACAAACAATTGCAATAGCGAGCATAGATATCATAAGACAGAAAATTTAAGTAAAGGGGCCTTAATAGAGACAGCTCAAGTTTAGTATTTATGAGGATTGGCTTCGCCTGTCTATTCCTCACGAACGACTGTGGGGGGTGTAGAAGCAGCAGCATCATTATAACGGGCCCCTTACAACCTTTTAAGGCTAGCTGCGGTCTCAATAGTACAGAGGCTTTCATTTCTATCTACGTTCTCCCCGGCGCTAATTTGTTTATGTGCTGTATCAACACCATGCACTTTACCGATGGCTACCTCAGCATCGTCGTTAACATGTTTATTTGTGCATATTTGAGGCTGGGCTTCCTTTGGAAGCTACAGGGATGATACGATGCCGCATGCACATCGATATTGACTGCCTGCTATTATTTACTGCATATTATTTAGCAGGTTGAGGGAGCCTGTCTACAGAGTGGGTTCAAACTTAAAAGAGAACTTGAATAGGGCGCCCCAATGGCCGGCGGAAGGCCCGGGCTGCATCAGCGTTATGAAATCAGCAACAGACAGGAATGCAGCTGCAACATCAGCAGCAATCAGTTCGGCAATAACAGCAGCAGCAACAGCAGCAGGAATTAATAACAATCGCAATAACAACAGCAGCAGCATAGCGAGCAGCCGTAACTGCAGGGCCCAGGAACCCTGAAGACTGATGCTCTTTAGAAAGTATAATCTTAACTGTTTTTTCTTATTGAACAGCGGCTTCCCTGAGGTATAATAGACGGCCCCCGCTATAGGCGATGCTGAAAACGCTTAAGTGAGTTACAGTATATCTAACGGCGCATGCATCCAACTTATTAGCCACTGAGTAACGACCACAGTTGCTCTGTATAGCATTAGGCAGCCAATACTTCTGCGGCTGCTGTTGCTGCTGCTGCTGCTTCTGCTGCGCTGCTGCATCAAGTCTCTTTCCTTACGAGTATGGAGCCCTTTAGGGTCTCTAAAGAGAGCAGCACAGCTGCACTGTTCCGCTCCCCAGCTGCATTTTTTGTTTGGGTGACGATGTAAATAGTATTAATAATTAATGCTTAAACAAAAATATAAATATCTATTTGCTACAGACAAAGAGCCCAGCCAGGGCGTATACGCTGCTGCAGCACCTGGAGCGGTACGCAGCCGTAGTAGCAGCATCTGTTGTGCATCTGCGGTGTATAGGCAGGTGCTTACTATTGCAAGTGTTTAATAGAGAAGAAGAAAAGAAACAAAAATATTAGAGCTAAAAAAAACTATTATTGCCTACTGTACATAAACACAAAGGGGCGGCTGCTGTTTGGTTGCCTCCTCTTCTTCTTGCCTTCGCTGTAGAGGTTGATGGGTATTTAGGTTGAGAAGGAAGATATTTCTTTTAATTTAAAGTATTTTATTAAAGAATTTAATGTTTGTTTTTAATAAAAAGTCTTTAAACGAATGAAGAAGGCAAGAAAAACTGCGTTTCTTAACCCTACGCCCCTTCTTATCTATCTACCCCCACTGGGCTGTACGTACAGCTGGGGTAGTCGCGCTGATAAACTTTGGCGTCTTTATCTTCTATTTGGATAAAGAGGTGCATTAAAGAGTATTAATTTTCTTTTATTAACAAACATATACTATTTTTATTTCTAAGGGCGCCCCAGACAAGTCGCTGCTGCCGCCCTGTTGCAGCCTTCTCCCTAGGGGGCGCCTACCATCATCTACGCGTTGCGCTGCAGTGTATATACAGCTCGTTATAGCTAGGGATAGAGAGAGACTGCATCTCTTTCCTTACTATATCTGTTCATAGGGCTTACTCTGTTTATATCTCTTCTTATTCTCTTTGCTGCGCTGCCTCTACGCCCCCAGGAGCGGTAGCGGTAGCAGCGGCAGCAGCAGCGGCAGCGCACTGCAGTAGGAGTGGATTCTCCTAAACTCTGCTGCTGCTGCTGCTGTTGCTGTTAGTGCTGCTGCTGTTGCTGCTGGTGCTATTACTGGTGCCTGCTGCAGCTACAGCCTTCAAGGGCCTGTCCCTTCGCCGCTGGATCTCGCCTTACCGTTGTCTGGCGAGCGTATAGAGGCGTAGCACTCTCCTCTTCTTCTTCTTTCTTTTGCTGCTGCTGCTGCTGCTGCATTTGGGTTCGCCTTGCAGCTGGGGGCTGTCTAGCGCTCATGCGGGGCTCAAGCCGGGCCTCCGCCGCCCGCTATAAGGGCATTACTCTGCAGTGGCTGTCTCCATCTGTCTCCTCTGTCTCTAAGACTTATCCTCTTCATCTAATAAACTCTCAGGTGTCTTTATGACTTCTATAGCCCCCCCCTATCTCACGGGGCCCCCCTTGCCTCCCCCAGGCCTCGTCAACTTAGGCAGGACTTGCTGCTTCAATGTGCTGCTGCAGGCTCTTGCTGCTACCCGTACGTTTTCTACTTTGTATGCTCCTTCTTCAGGGGGCCCCCTGACTTACCAGGGGGCCCCCAACAAACGCAGCGCAGACAAAGGGGGCCCCCTTAATCTCAATGAGGCCCTCACATGCGGAGGCCCGGCTGATGCCGTTAACCCCCAAGACACGTAAGGCTTTAGGGTTTAGGGTTTAGGGTTTAGGGTTTAAAGTTCAAGCGATAAACCCTAGGGTTTAGATTTTCACTCAAGGCTTTGAATTCTCGCCCCCACGTAGCGGTGGGCCGAAGGGGGGTGTTGTAAAGTCTTTGGGGTTTAGTGCCTCGGGATTAGGGTTTAGGGATTAGGGTTTAGGGTTTAGGGTTTAGGGTTTTTGCTGTTTATCTTCAGGCCAATCAACTTTCAGGTCTCGCAGATTCTGGCGGAGATGACACGGGCCCCCCTTCTTCAGGATAGCAGCAGCAGCAGCAGCAGCAGCAACAGCAGCAGCAGCACCGCCACCACCACCGATAACAGCGCCAGCGATAGCAGCAGCAGCAGCAGCAGGGGCGGCATAAGGGGGACAAGGCGCAGCACCAGGGGCCCGAAAGGAAGGCTACCTCCCTCCTCCGCAGCAGCCACTGCAGCAGCAGCAGCAGCAACAGCAGCAGCAGCTCCGCCTATCTCCAGCTCAGGGGGCCCCCGAGGCCACCGGCGATGCTGCAGGGCTTCGGCAGCAGGGGCCCCCGAGGGGGCCCCTGGGGCCCCTGTGGAGACCAGTGAAGAGGCGGTTGGTGGGGGTAGCATGGGGCGTTCGTCTGCTGCTGCTGCTGCTGCTGCTTGCTGCGGGGGTGCTCAGAGGCCGCTGAAGAGGGTTAAGAGAGAGCCTAGACACCGGGTGCTTAACCCTGCTGCCTTTATAAAACAAATGCGTCTTATTAACTCCGAATTTCAAGAAGGCAGGGAGCTGGTAAGCCCCTTAGGGTTTAGGGTTTAGGGTTTAGGGTTTAGGGTGTAAGGGATAGGGGAGAGGGCACAGGCTTAGGGTTTAGGGTTTAGGGTTTGGGGGTCTAGGGGTGTACATACCGTAGAGAGTTGCCAGTCAAGGCTTCTGGAGGTGGTAGTTGGGGAAACTACTCCTAGGGTTTAGAGTTAGGGGTTTAGGGTTTGGGGTTTAGGGTTTGGGGTTGAGGGTTTAGGGTTTAGGGTTTAGGGTTTGGGGTTTGAGCTCAGGACGTGGAGGAGATATGGCGGTTTCTGATCGAGCAGATTTTTGCGGAGCTTCAGCCCCTGCAAAGCCCAGCATATAGCAGCAGCAGCAGCAGCAGCGGCACAGCAGCAGCAGCAACTGCAGCAGCAGCAGCAGCGACGGGTGTCGGCAGCAATTTGCTGCCTTGCCTTGCAATCTCATCAGGTGCTGCTCCAGTTAAAGGCGGAGAAAGAAGGTCTCCTTTAAGTGTAAGAATAAAGGAGGAGGGGCCCCCCTATAGAGATGGGGGCCCCTCGGCCTGCGGCCGCAACGGGAGACTGCTCGAAGCAGCAGCAGCAGCAGCAGCAGCAGCAGCAGCAGCAGCAACGCGCCGGCGTGTCTCCAAGCGCTGCAGGAGAGGCAGCAGCAGCAGCAGCAGCAGCAACAGCAACAGCGGGAGGGACAGCACCGCATGGAGGGGTCCTGAGGGCGAGGGTGTATCTAAGCAGTGTGCTATATCTTCGCCAGCAGCAGCAGGAGAAGCAGCAGAAGCAGCAGCAGCAGCAGCAGCAGCAGCAGGTGGTAGTGGTAGTGGTTATTCCTCTCCGCTTTTGCTGTACAAGAGCGAGGAGGGCCCAGGAGACTGTCTCCTTGAAGAGCAGAGAAGGGTAGGGGGCCCCCACGATGAATGTAAGCTGCTGCTGACGGCGCTGTCTCCAAGCCCCTCTTCACTACGTGTTAGCAGCGCCGGCAGCAGCTGCAGCAGCAGCAGACGCTGCAGCAGGTCGGCGTCCCTCAATGCTGCTGCAGAAGCACCAGAAACAGCAGCAGCAGCAGCAACAGCACCGGCTGCTGCTGCTGCTGCGGCTGCTACTGAGCGCCAGCAAGCAGCAAACCTCCTTGCAAGGCGGTTGCATGATGCGCTGTCAGGAGAGCTGCTGCATGTGGCTGTCCCTTGCTGCTGCTGCCCACAGCAGCAGCAGCAGCAACAACAGCAACAGCAGCAGCAGCAGGTAGAGCCCTTCTGCGGGGTGCTGCCTCTGAGGATGCCCGAGAGGAGTCGCTTCATGGGCAGCAGAAGCAGCAGCAGCAGCAGCAGCAGCAGCGGCAGCAGCAGCAAACTGGAGCCCGTTACCCTCTCCGAGTGTTTGCGCTTAACGCTAACTCATGGCTGCGGCCTATCTCCTCCTCAGGAGACCCTAAACAAGCAATCTGCTGCAAGCGAAAGGAGACAGTCGCCGCAGAAGGGCCCCCCGGGGGGCCCCCTACCTGCCCCTGAGGGCCCCCCGACGTCTCGAGTCTCAGGCGCGCGAACAAGGGCAGCAACTGCAGCAGCAGCGGCAGCTGCTGCTGCTGCTGCTGCTTCTACTGCAGCACCCGATAGTGCAGCAGCAACAGCAGCAGCAGAAGCTACAGCTGCTGCTGTTGAACAGGAGCCGTTTTGTCAGCGCTGCAATGCACCCCACCGCAAGACCCTCCTGCAGCGGCTGCCTCCGCTTGTGCTGCTGCAGTTGCCGCGAAGCACTCATTCTCTGCGGAGCAGCAGCAGCAGCAGTAGCAGGCCCTCGCGAGCAGGCAGCGTGAAGATAAAGGCCCATGTTGACTTCCCTCTGGAGCTGCAGAGTCTCCTTGTCCCTTATCTCGCAGAATCTGCATGCAGCAGCAACAGCAGCAGCAGCAGCAACAGCAGCAGCAGCAGCAGTGGGGTTGCAGAGAACGTAGTTCCTAGGCGTCGTGTGGGCTGTCGCTCTTCGACTGCCTCAGGTAGCAGCACTGTGAAGAGTGCAGATGGAGGCCCCAAGGAGGGGGGCCCCCCTATTGCACCCTTAGACCCTTCTGAACCCTATAAAGGGGGGCCCCCCCCTTCAGTAGGGAGCTATGGGCTAAGAGCAGTGATAGAGCATCAAGGTCGCTGCGGAGATGGAGGGCATTACGTGTGCTATAGAAGAGGGTGGTATGGGGGGCCCCCTGGGGGCCCCCCTACGACTTCAGGGGGCCCCCCTACTACTTCAGGGGGCCCCTCTGAAAGCGAAGATGATGTCTGGTGGGTTGTTAACGATGTCTACGTATCAAGGAGCTCCTGGGAAGAGGTAAGAAGAACTCAAGCTTATCTTCTTCTTTATGAACGTTCCATAGATCAACAGCAACTGCAGCAGCAGCAGCAGCAGCAGCAGCAGCAACTGCAGCAGCAGCAGCAGCAGGTGGTGCTGCTGCAGCAGCAGCAGCAGGCGCAGCGGGTTGAGGGGCCCAAGAGTAAAAGACCTAGGGCAAGCAAGGCTGTAATTCGTATACCCCGCAGGAGGCTTGGGGCCCCTCCCTGAAACAAACTTTTTGTGTTTTTGTTATGCCGCTGAGGCACTGAGCCGCGTCTGCGGCTGTCTCCTTTGTTTGATGTTTTGCTGCGAGTCGTCTTCTTGTTGCACCTGTCTCCTAATCTAAAATAATCAGCCACAAGCGCCTTCAGCTCGGCTGTCTCCGCAGATAGGAAGCTAGAGATAATACTCTCTCTCTTCTACTATCGCCTACTTCTCTCTCTATCTTCAGTAGAAGCAGCAAAAGGGACACAAAGGAGACAAAACCCCAGATACTCGGGTCTAGGGTTTAGGGTTTAGGGTTTAGGGTTTAGGGTTTTTAGCAAGGAGGATTGAGCTCGAGAAACTGTGCAGAAGAAGTGCAACGTTGGCTTTGCTAATAGTCAGAAGGAGACAGAGTGTAGATAAAAGAGACAGATAAAAGAGACAGGCAAACGAAAGGAGACTAATAGAATGTGGAGGAGGGGATAGCAAGACAAGGTAGGGGTAAGAAGGGGGCTGAGGTGCAGCAAGAGACAGGGTGAAGAGAGACAGATCTGCAGAAGAGACAGAGCAACTGCGGAGAGACAGCTTGCTCCTCCACACGGTGTATCCATACTGTCTCTTTCTGTCTAGCCTGTCTCCTACTTACCTATCAAAAGATAATAACATACTCAGTTCCTTAGGCCCCCTCTAATACATTCACCTGTACAGGGGGCTGAGTTTAAGGTGTACATGCTGCACAATCTCTTGGGCTTAAGACCTATCTATCTTTTAGTATGCCTCTTCAAGTGCTAGCCTCTGTTTCTCTGTCTCTGTTGGGTGTTGTGATCGGGGCTGTCTTCTGTGGTTATAAAGGGTATTATAGATGAACAAAAATTAATTGTTTATCTAATGATGCTTAGTGCTTGCATGGAGCAGCTGTCTCTACCCTTAAATTAAACAAAAAAGAAAGCTTATACAACCAACCCCTAGTAGGTGCTGCCCGTAGACAGTTCAGGGCTGTATACTTAACGCTGTGGGGCGCATGCAGCCCCAACTTCGATAAGCTAAACAATACTAACAACTCCCCACAAACTTTACTACATGCCGTTGCAGCAGCATTAATATAGGGAGTTAAACTGCTGCTCCCTGGGTACGGGGATCGTCGGGATCGTCTCCAGAGCCCTGACGATATTAATATAACTCGAGGCCTTTAGTTTATTCAAAGACAGTTGTCAGCAAATAGCGAGATAAAAGTAATATAATTAGAGACATAGGGACGTCTTCTACCTTCTATTTTGATGGGCTCTGCTTTAACCCCTCACATGCATGCATGCAGCAGACGTAAACAGCTGCTTGGGTATATGTAAGCCTGCTCTCTATTCGCTGTTGCTTCCTCACATCCTACATGCCTGCAGAGCATAAGCGCGTCTCCCTGATGCAGAGTGAATAGACAATAAAACAAATAAAACCTTATCTTCTTCAGCCCGTTCACCCCCGACCTTCTTCATCAACACCGAAGCACCTTCGTCTCCTCTAGCATGGGCCCTGGCTGTTTGTAGCTATCACCACTATAAGTTGCAGCTGCAAATTTTATCACACAGTATGCAGCAGCAGGATAATGCATTAAGAAGGGTGAAGAAGGCCGGGAGACAAAACAGTACAAAGCAGAGCCTGCTGTCTCTTTCTTACACCCTTTCTCTGTTCTGCTCTTTGCGGGCCTATATATATATATATATATATATATATATATATATATATATATATTCATATATATATATAGACTTACTAACAAAATGAAGGTACTATAACTCTATTCTAAAAGGGCTCAGAGAAACACTGAAATCTTCTTTAACACCCTGAGCCCTTTAACACCCTGAGGCATCATCTCTATGAAAATAATAACCCACTGTAGGAGGCTGATGAGGGTTCAAACGCGGGACAGAAGAAGATAATAATATATAAATGTATAAATATAAATATGTACAATAGAAGGGGCGCATGCACGATGCAATTGCTCTAAAATATTTATACGCTCTCCTTGGCTAAGCCACGAAGGCTGCACACGTGGGTGTGCACAAAGAGGAGTTAAGTTAGACAGCATTAATATCTCGTTAACAGTTGTTATTGTGTTGCACCTGTAGAGGAGTCCAGTCTTTCTGTCTCAGTGCCCGCCCTGTCTGTATGTTTGTGCTCTCTTATGCATGCATATAGACACCCCCTCTTCTCTTCATGCAGACAGCCCACGCCCTCAAACGGGTGTGCGCAGGAAGGCCTGAAGATAGGGGAGAAGAATAATGCTGCTGGCGGGGGCCCCTATTAGAAACCCTTATTAGGGGCCCCTCCCTATTGGGGGCCCTTATTAGGGGCCCTTATGGGGGGCCCTTATTGGGGGCCCTTATTAGGGGCCCTTATTGGGGGCCCCTGTTGGGGGCCCTTATTAGGGGCCCTTATTAGGGGCCCTTATCTGAAGTGTGTAATTCTGTAATATGGCTGTCTCCTCTTTGTCCCCAGCCCCGGGAGTCTGCATGCAAGTTTGTTTTACTTTGAGGGTATTATGTTTAGACTACTGTTTAATATAAACAACAAGTCTTATTATTTCTCTGCTTTGTTTAGGGGCCCCCCTTGCTGATGTCCTCTCGTTAAGAGATATGAATCAAATAGTTATTTCTTTGTCCTTTTGCTGTTTTAGGGTTTATTGTTTAGGGTTTAAGATTGATAATTTAAATGTATTAAAAGATATTATTTATTCAGAGAAGGTAGGTGCTTCAGGCTGCATGCAGCAGCAACCCTAATTGCTTGTGGGGGGTGTGGGGCTGGGAGAGCTGCAGCTGGGGCTACTATGCTCGTCTACCCTAAACCCTAAACCCTAAACCCTAAACCCTAGACAGGAAGTCTTTGTTCGGTGGTTGAGCTATGCTGCATTATTCGTTAGTGTTGTTTTAGGGGTGTGCCACTGCTGCTTCTGCTGCTGCTGCTGCTGCTGCTGCTGCTGTTGGGCCTCAGGGCGTGTAGCGGCAGGAGGGCTTCCTCTTCATTGCTCTGCAGCAAAAGTATATTTAAACATTAATTTTAGATATTTACTTTTAAAGAGTAAAGACTGTGGGGAGGTTGTGAGAATGAGCAACAAATACATCCCTCCACACCTGCGCGGTGCTGCTGCAGCAGGTGGTGCAGCAGCACCAGCAGCAACAGCAGCAGCAACAACAGCAACAAGGGCCCCCGCGACCATTGAGGGGGCAGCAGCGATTGTGAACAGCTTGCTGCGGGCGCGTACAGCGGAGGAAGGAGGCCAGCAGCAGCAGCAGCAGCAGCAGCAGCAGCCTGACGGCGCAGCAGGGGGCCCCCAGCAAGGAGAAGCAAAAGGTGCATGGGGTTCCTGGGGTAGGGGGGCCCCTAACCTTAGAACAACTAAACAACATCAGCAGAGATCAGCAGCTCTAAGAGTTGTAGAGGTTGACTCCCTCGTCCTTATGAAGATTATCAAACACTGGCGGTAAGACTTCACACCTAGGGTTTAGGGTTTAGGGTTTAGGGTTTAGGGTTTGGGGTTAGGTGAATGAATGAAGACCCTCCTCCTGTTGATTCGTTACTCCTTTGCCTCTTCCTGGTCCTGTCGGTTTAGGGTTTAGGGTTTAGGGTTTAGGGTTTATAGGGTTTTTTCTTCGTTTCTTATGGATATATGCTTTGAATGTTTAAATAGATAAAGGAGGAGACAGAGCGTTTATTGTTTTTGTTTGTTTGCTCTTGATTTTCGGGTG